GCAATTAAATTGTTTCTCCTTTTCTTGCAAAAAAAGGTGATGTAACTGTTTGTTGACATCCTGTTCTAATTTGTTGATGTGGAGCTCTTTTGATTTTGCATTATTTAGGAATAAATGTTATTTTATTAACCAGATTGGAAGACCCATCCGGATCCAACAAATCGAAATCCAACAATTTCCTTGTACAGAAAGAATCAATAAAAAACCATCACACTCCTGCAGATAATAGGTGCGTAGGAAAAACGACCAAAAAAGATCGGTCGACAATCCGCAAACGAGAAACTGCCGCACACTATCAGAACTTGCATTTAAAAACTCTTTATTAGCAACGTTTCGGTCTCACGACCTTGTACAGAAAGGACATTCTCTGACTGCATGAGACACGTAAACCTCTTTTATTGTGTATGGACTTAAGATCATGTGCTGAAGAACAGACGAGGTAACTGATCAACTTCTAAAACAAATAAATGTAGACTGGGGCTCTCCTGTTAAATGGGTACAGCCTAGAGAAGATGAAACTGTGAATGCATTAAAATACACAGCTCATATAGTGTATTCGTGATGGAAAGCTGGAACTGTGTTTGTCTTGGGATCTTCCGGGTCCAACAGAAGAAAACAGAAGGTGGTTTTATGAACGTCTGCTGTCACAAGCCGCAATTAAAGTAGTTCACGAGTTCACACTTAAAATAATCAGATGGAGTAAAGAGTCCTGGGCTCCGAGCTTGGTATTTTGGCCCAGAATACAACAAGCAAACACACAGCACCTCACACACACACAAACCATAAATTAATACTAACAAAATGTGGAGAAAAGTATCATTTCATGTACAACACCAAGGTTAAAAACTTTGATAATGCTTTACAAAAGTTTTTATTTTTATATGTATTATTATTTATTATTATTTAAATATTATTTATTTTTATATTAATAATTTATTATTATTAGTTAATGTTAATTTCAGCATTTACTAATGCATTATTAAAATCAAAAGTTTTGTGTTAAAATGAATGAATGCACTGTGAACTAACATGAACAATGACTATACATTTTATTAACTAACTTTAACAAACTATATTTTTATTAACTAATGTTAACAAAGATTAAAAAATACTGTATAAAAAATATTGCTCATTAGATCATGTTGGCTAATACATTAGTGTTTCCGAACCTATTTACTTCTAAGCTCTTAAACCTTTACTAAGGCCAACATTAAATGTTTTTTCTAAAATCTTACTTCAGGATTACACAGAATGTAAAAAAAAAAACAAAAAAAAAAACTGAAGAACTCCAAAAGCACAAAACCAAGAAAACCAAATTAGTTTGTCACCAAATGTTTTTAAGATGTTGGAAATTGCTGTTTATGTCAATGTCCCAGAAGCTCTCCAGCATCTCTACACAGTATATGTGCATGGAAATGCTCCAAAGAGGCAGGAAAGTCACAAAAAATACCTTGAGGAAAGAAAAGTAAAAACAGAAGGAAAACATTTTTTTATACGACAGATCCAGTTCATTATTATAATTGGCTCAATTGACTGAAAGTGATATACAGTTGCGCTCCAAAGTTTATATACACCTTGCAGTATCTGCAAAATGTTAATAATTTTAGCAATAATAGGGATCACAAAATTGTGCTTGTTGTCTTTTTATTTAATAATGAAACAGTTTATTCTGCAAGGTGTACGTAAACCTTTGAGAACAATCTGAGAGGGAAACATCACAATAATAATCATCAACACATAAGAAATCAAATCTCGTGTACTTCTATTGATTTAGGATATAATGTTGCGTATAATAGAATGTTAAATATATCTGCAGTTTCTCAGATCAGCACAGCATGTGAAGTGTGTTTATGACCATCAGCCGAGCAAAGTCAAGATCAAAACCAGCTGGACCAACTTTACATGATGCTTTTATATTAAAAGCGTAGAAGCGTATTAGTGGACTTAGGACTGGAAAATATATTATCCTGGATATATTGAATAAGTTATGAATAGAGGACAGGCTGCCAAGGGCATAGAGGCAATGCAATTTATAATTCCCTTTAAAAAAACAGCAAAAGATTCTTCATAATGCATGTTTATGTGACGAGTGTCAGGGAGCAGGAACTAGAACATGTATTAATAGTGTGTCCTAATACAAAACAAAAGGATTGAATGTATAATAAATACAAACCTCAGGATGTCAGTCGTTTACAATATCCAGCATCTTAGATAATAGTCCAGAAACAGGGAATATAGCAGATGCACTGTTGAAATGTCTATTTAAGAGGTATTAAACAAGATTTAGAGATATATGTGGTATAATATCCCGCTCCAGTGCAGTAGGTGTCGGTGTGACACTGTTCAGCTGTTCCAAACCCTCCTGTAAAACACACGAAGAAGAGCAAAACGAAAGGAACACCTGTCCACACCTAAACCTGTCGCTCACTGGATTTGATCTGATCTATGATCCAGAAAAAATTTCTACAGATGTCAATTTAGCACAATGCCTACCAAATATAATAACACTCGCGGCCATTTATGTGTTTAATCCACAATCCATCGAGACCAGCGAGAGATTCTGAGAACGACGCGCGCGGACTGACAACAAGCGTTACTGAGTTTACAATACTGATAAATTCTCTTCTTAGTGGACAAGACTGCAAGTAAGTTCATTACATTCTCCATTACAGTCATTTGTAATTATTAGGAACTTCATATTGTATATTAAGCGAGATTTAAATGTGAAGTTACAGAAGGCTGTTCTTCTGCTACTCCGGACAGAAGAAGAATCTGCCAGAAATTACAATCTTTTGAAGTTAAAACACAAAAAGTTTTATTGAGAAAGGGTTATTCAACACGATTATGTTTCTAAAATGTTTTCTCCCATTTCCTCTTCCGTGTTAGACTGTTGTTTTTGTGATGTGAAATCGAAAGTATTTTTGAAGCAGACATTTACAGTAGACAGACAGATGAAGCCTAACGTCAATCAACAACAATCTGCTGTTATTAAACTGAATATTTCAGTTCATATATAGCAATTATGATTAGTAATTATACAGTATGTCTATTATAATTCATGTTACTTTTACTCAATCAGTTATTTTATGATCATTTGAAAGTAATGATATCAACCATCATTGTGAACTTGAAGTAATGATTGAATGACAAACGATTAAAAAATGTATAAAGATTGGGTAAATATGATTGTAAAATGATATTATACTGTAATAGAGAATATAACAAATAGGGTTCAGTTTTCCCAGCACAGTGTAAATTTCTGTTCCCCAATGAATTCATATTTAGAGTCAGTTAAACTCATTAAACAACCAGAAATGATTAAGACCATTCGGTTATTTTACATGGCAATATATTTGTTTGTAACTCACTTTATTTGATACACTGTTTTTGCTGTTGCTGTTGTTGATGATAACTCTTTATTCTTCTCTCTTGTCTTCAATAAGATGTTGTTGATGTGTGTAAATGTTGTGATTTGCAGGTGATGCTAAAGGATTGAGTGTTTTCAGAAAGCAGTGCTGATCAGTTTTCAGGGTCAGTTTAGCTGCAGTATGTCAGAGGAAAGAGGAAAGGACTCTCTCTCTCAGATGAGTCTCTCAGAGAAACACAGGTGAGACTGCGTCTGTTTCACACTCTCAGTTTAAACTCCACTGGACTTTGTGTTTCCCTGTCAATAACACAACTTTAAGCATTGCTTTATATTTACAAATGCTTTGCACAACTTCAATTTTAACTTCTTAAATTAACACTGACATTGTCTATAAAGTTTGCTCTATAGAAAATATCACAGTTAATAATTTGTTAATAACCTTCTAGACGCTGAATTAATCCAAATAAATGACTTTAGTATTTAGATTATAAAATTATTGATAGAGACATTAGAAAACGACTATACACTTAATTTCTTACACTTAACTTTAATTCAAGTATGCTAACAAAACTGTGTCACACAGACATTTCTGCTCTCTATTTCTGTCAATAAATAAAAACATTGACATGTTCTCTTAAATTAGAGTCAAGTATTTTTTAACATACTTACTCTCACTCATGTATATTAAAGAAATTGTTAAACTAATGTGAGCCAGTAAATAAAATGATGGTTAACTATAAAACTGTAAATTGTGTGAGTGTGTGTGTTTCTGTGGAGGATTAGATAAAGACACAGATGTGTTTCAGACACAGTTGATCCTCCTTTACTAAAGTGTTTTCTCTCTCTCTCTCTCGTTCTTTGTGTCATCAGTGTAAGATCAGGCTCACATGTGTCCAGCTCTGTGTCTCTGAAGAGTGATTGGTCTAAAGAAGATCCACCAGACTTCAGTGAGAAAACACCATCATCTAATAAAAGGTATTTTGTGTTACTATTTTTTTGTCACACGTTGACTGTGTTTAAAAGTTATATCAGTGAATACCAATCATGAAACATGTTTAGATCAAATATTTGTCAGAGTATTCACAGCTAATGCTTATTTCTCTTTCTGTAAAATATCAGTTAGTATTTTATTTTACTAATGTGATTACAGGCTTCAATATGAGACATTCAACTCAGGCGTTCAGACTCACAGGAACCACAAGAATTTCAAAGACAATCTTCTTGGGATCTTCCAGGTAGGAAAACACATTTTTATAAATGTTTAATATTTCTAATAAACAAATATGTTATTGAACAAATAAATGTAATTACATTTTTCTTCATCTCCTTTTTTTCCTTTTAAAATCATTTTAGCCAAACTTGGTTACCATGTTAGCCTGTTAACTGGATTTTTTTATGTACATGTATTATAATTATTGAATAAATAGTGTTGACCAAATGTAGATGTACAATCTTTCTCTTTTGTTTGTAGGATCTTGAGAGCAAAATAATCACATTTCTGAAGAATGAACTGGAGAAGTTAAAGAAAATATTACAAAAAGAAAACACACAACACTTTGTGAAGGACTTTAATGAGAACAGATCCAGTATCAAATCAGCAGCTCTTGATCTCACACTACATTACCTGAGAGAGATGAAGCAAGATGAAGCTGCTGATGCTCTAGAAGGCAAGAGACTCGTGATCATCTGTCTGATTGTCTCTTATAAATGTAGGAGAGAAAATGAAGACTAAAACTATATATTTTCTGTTCCTGTGTTAAGGTGGGCTGTTCCTCATTCATCAGCTGAAATGTGGCCTAAAGAAGAAGTATCAATGTGTGTTTGAAGGAATGGCGAAGCAAGGTGACTCCACACTCCTGAATAACATCTACACAGATCTCTACATCACTCAGGGTGGCAGTGAACAGGTCAATACTGAACATGAGGTGAGACAGATTGAAGTTGCTTCCAGACGTCATGAAGCACAAGAGATACAGGTTGAATGCACACATTTGTTTGAAGCGCCTGAACAAGACGAGGAGATCCGAACTGTACTGACAAAAGGAGTCGCTGGCATCGGGAAATCAGTCTCTGTGCAAAAGTTTGTTCTGGACTGGGCTGAAGGAAAAGAAAATCAAGATATCAGCTTCATATTTCCTCTTCCATTCAGAGAGATGAACTTAAAGGAGAAAGAAAAACTAAGTTTGATGGACCTTATAACTCAGTTTTTCCCAGAGACAAAAGGACTGAACCTTACAAGAAGAAATCATTTCAAAGTGCTGTTCATCCTTGATGGACTGGACGAATGTCGCCTTCCTCTGAAGTTTGATTGTAATGAGACGTGGCGTGATGTATCGTCACCAGCCTCTCTGGATGTTCTCCTAACGAACCTCATGAAGGGAAATCTGCTTCCTTCTGCTCTCGTCTGGATCACCAGCAGACCAGCAGCTGCCAGTAAGATTCCTCCTGACTGTATCGACCGGCTGACAGAGATACGAGGATTCAGCGACGCACAAAAGCAAGAGTACTTCAAAAAAAGATTCAAGGATGATATTCAAGCCAACACAATCATAGATCATGTTAAACAATCAAAGAGTCTCTTTATCATGTGCCACATCCCAGTCTTCTGCTGGATTTCAGCCACTGTTCTCCAGAACATTCTGGAGGAGAAGAGAAATAATGATGTGAAAAACACTCAGGCTGATGAGATCTCTAAAACACTGCAGGAATCAAACACTGAAGACACTCCCAAGACTCTGACACAAATGTACACACACTTTCTCCGCTTTCAGATCCAGCAGAGCCGCCGAAAATATGATGGAGAATACACACCAGATGTTTCCTGGGATAAAGACGCCATCCTTTCACTGGGGAAACTGGCATTTCATCAGCTGGAAAGAAACAACCTGATCTTCTATGACACAGACCTGGAAGCCTGTGGTCTTGACGTCTATAAGGCATCAGTGTACTCAGGCATGTGTACCCAGATCTTTAAGGAGGAAACAGGGATCGTTCTTGGTACCATGTACTGCTTTGTCCACTTGAGCATTCAAGAGTTTATTGCAGCCCTTTATGCACATCTGTTTCTAGACATCAACAAGACAAGTGTGTTTGATCATGAGTCTACAGAACAGGAAAACAGAAATGAAACCATGATTGATTTTCTCAAGACTGCAGTGGACAAGGCGCTGGAGAGTGACAATGGACACCTGGACCTTTTCCTTCGCTTCCTTCTCGGTCTGTCACTCCCGTCCAATCGACGACTCTTACGAGGTCTGTTGACACAGCGAGACGACACTGACCAGAGCAACAAGGGGATTTTTCTACGACTCTTACGAGGTCTGTTGACACAGCGAGACTGCAATGACCAGATCAACAAGGAAATAGTTCAGTACATCAAGCAGAAACTAGAAGCTAATCTTCCTGCAGAGAGATCCATCAATCTGTTCTACTGTCTGAATGAACTGAACGACCAAACTCTGGTGAACGAGATTCAGACCCACCTTAGCAAAGGAAGTCTCTCATCTGGTGACCTTTCACCTGCCCAGTGGTCTGCTTTAGCCTTTGTGTTGTTGACATCAGAGGAAGAGCTGGAGGAGTTTGAGCTTCAGAAATTCAAGAAATCAGACGAGTGTCTCATTAGATTATCGGCAGTCATTAAAACCTCCAAAACAGCCCTGTAAGTGTTTTAATATATTTTGTCATGTTTAGCTTTCATCTGAAAAATGCATTTATCTACATTACTGTATAGTGATTCCCCATCATAAACATGAAGCTATACCCGTAAAGCTTTTTTGTTTGTGTGTGTGTGTGTGTGTGTGTGTGTGTGTGTGTGTGGAGAGTTTATCACAACTTAAGACAAAATATAAAATGCCATGGAAAAATGTTTGCATGTTTGTTTTGTATCATATGATACACCAGACTTGTATGGTTTATATATATTATCACATAATCATACTTGAGGAAGAAAAAAATGGCATATTTTATTCATATACCCAAACTGGGGGGAAAGAATGTAATTTGGTACAGATGTTATTTATATTTCCAAAAAGTAAGATGAAATTCTGAAAGGTTATAGTATAAAGCATTGAGATTTTTATAAAACAGGCTAATAAATAAAGTACAGTATATTTTCACATCATATATTAGTTGCTCCTCTGTTTCTCCCAGTAATTAGATATTTTAAATGCTTACTTCTATGTGTAGCCTAATTCTGTAGTTTAATGTAATAATAATGTAATGCAATATGTAGATCGAGAGATTTACAAATAAACATTTATCAAAAGCCTGTTGTATCATATTTGATGTACACATCAGATGGTTTTTCTACAAAAAAACTTCTTAGGTTCTCTAGTTTAAAGGGGTCATATAATGCCATTTTTGTACAAGCTAATATGATTCTTTAGGGTCTAAATTAAAAGTTTGTAATATACTTTAATTAAAAATTCTCATTAGTATTGTAAGAAAACACTTATTTTACCTGGTCAAAAACAGCTCTGTTTTCAGCACGCCGTTTCAGTGCATATGCCTTTAAATGATCATGAGCTGCGCTCACCCCGCCCCTCTGTTCTGCGCATACACCGTTTGTAACACAATAACACAACCATAACGCGTTGTTCAGTATAAACGTGGAATTATGAATTATATTGAGAACGTCATACATAGAAAACATGCCGTAATGTACCCTGACTGAGTGTAAACCTTAGACGCATTCATTGTGAAGCGTGCAGCTAGCGATTTGCAAAGATTAATATATTAATATAAAGTTTAATAAAACGTTTCACTCACTTCCGTTCTTCTGGAGGTTCAGCAGGAACACGAATATCTGGTACCGATCCTTTTTAGCAAAGCTTCTTAGCAAATCCAGCTTTATACTGACCCTCGTTTATAAAGCAGTCTGGTGTGTGAAATGATTCGCGCAAAAATGAAAGCATTGACGTTGCTCGTGTGGAATATTCCCTTCGAAAACAAAACTCAGCCACTGCGTCTTCAGCGGTTCGGATTCAAGAACATTAAAATGACTGTGTTCGTTATTACACCCAAGAACAGAACACCACAATCGCTTAGACGCCATTCTGCTCATAGACAGTGCTCCGGCACATCAACAATGACTGCGCCGGTCCGCGCAGAATATGATTGACAGCTGGCTCACGAGCGAGGGCGGGTCTGTGTTGAAACGCTCCCGTCAATCAACAATCGGGGGAGGGGCGTCCGTTTTATTGACGTCACAAAAACGAACGGCTCGATTTGAGGCAGGGGAAAACATATAAGGAGATTAAAACAAAACCACTGGATGGATTTTTATCATTATATGATGTTTGTGTACAGGCACTGCCAACACACATTTCAGTACAATCAACTTGTAAAAGTGCATGTACCATTATATGACCCCTTTAAGTAATATTAGCTTTACTTAAATCATTAAATATGTTATGTCAAAAAGACATGTACATGTGCATGGAGCAGTTTTAGTATTATAGTGAAAGGCCTTTAAGTTGCCATAAAGTGTGAACTGTCTCATATAATGGTGTCGGTGCAGTCAAGTCGATAATATTGTTGATTAATAAGTGTCCACTAAGAAAGACAGAGGAAACAGTGGCAAGAACCTAAACTCCATCAGGTCACACAAATAGAGAAAAAATCCTATAGCTATAGAAGCTTTACACAAATTGTTTTTCAAACATGGTTTATTTTATCAAGGATATTTGTCAGTGAATAAAAAACACTAATGTACAGGAAATAGTAGATTTTGAAGATACATTTTATTTTAACTCAGCCTCTTTGCTGTATATGCTGTTTATGTAAAAAATAAATGGGAAAATGTATTTAATATTTGTATATAGAAAATGTATTGTATGTATTCCATCTAATTCTGTGTTGTGACTTTATTGTAGGTTAAATGATTGTAACTTAACAGACAAAAGCTGTTCAGCTCTGGCTGCAGTTCTTGGATCCGATACCAATCTGAAGGAGCTGAACATGAACAATAATAATCTGCAGGATTCAGGAGTGAAGCTGATCTGCACTGGACTGAAGAATATAAAGTGTAAATTGGGGATACTGAGGTAAGTGTAAATTGGACGATGCCGGAGGCAAAAAGCGCACTTGAGTTGATCACCTCCCAATTTCCACATCTTTCCCTTCACCCATCCCTACCTGAATTCACCCAAAAATCTATATGGTTTAATATGAACTATTATCATACAATATTATACATGTTTGGTATCATTTGAAATGTCTCAGTGCAACTGGTACAAAGGTCTCATTCCCACAGAAGTAAACCAAAAAGGTAATAAGGTGTGGAGCGTTTAGAGATATCTTGTTAACTGCTGTGTGTGTGCCCCCATGTAAATCAACGTCTGTCCCCAGTAAGTCTGGGACAGTGATTAATGCAAATTCCCACTGTGAACTCGTTAAAATACATCATGTATTTATAATGTCAGGTTCGCATGTTCTCTCTTTATTCCAGAGCATTTGATGTTTTGTATTGATTATCTTTGAACTGATTATGTAATTGGCATGATACATTTACCTGACATAATTAATTGGTACATTTGATTTTATTCCGACTGACTCTGAAATTGTTTTCCCAAGTAGATTAAACGGATTTGTATGTTCCGCAAGTTTTGCGTCAGATTAGTGACAACTAATATTTTGGCGCTAATTCAAGTGTACGTGTTTCGGGCAGCGTTTCGGGAAGCAAAATTGAAGCGTGACCAACTTAAATCTGGGTGTGTTTTACCTCTGTTTTAATTTAATGTTACTTTACATAAGTGTACGTGGGAAACCACGGCAGGGCCAATCCAAAGCTATTATAAGACAAGTAAAGTTGGTTGACTTATATCTGTAGTAGTGGCCATACCTCTACTGAAGTAAATGTTACTTTAATTTCAAGTGTATGCAATCACAGGGGCTATACTAAAGTATATTTGATTATGTAAGTGTGAATGCGACTGAAATCAGGTATATAGCAATTTAGTGACCGAAGCTGGTGAGATTGTGATCTAAAAACATTAAATTATGTTTAATGTTTTTACAATCAAATGTATTGCTAAACTATTATATAATTGACCAATAACCAATTGGCAATCTAACTTAAATTCGAGGTCATGATAAAATGGATTAAGATATAAAATGGAGTCCGATAAAAGCTTAAATGGACTTAAATTGCTTTGCCACGTGGAAAGACAGTAACACGCAGAAACCTTCAGCCGTTCTGGAGGAAACCCCCATTTGGACCGATAAACGGGCTCACACAGTTTTAGATAATTGTAATCTCGAAAGTGATGTTGATGTCTATCATAATAAATATTTCTGTGCCTTTTGTTTACCTCCATATTCAGTTGTCAGTTTTTGCAACTAACTTTCAATGCATTTATACAAAGAACAAAATAAAATTCAAGTTTAAGGATTTATATTGTTTGGGGTTTAACTGATTAATCAGTTGAATGCTTTCATTCCTGTTCTAGAATCTCTAACTGCAGTGTAACAGAAGAAGGTTATAAAGCTCTGGCTTCAGCTCTGAGATCAAACCCTTCACACCTGATAGAGCTGGATCTCACAGGGAATGATCCTGGACAATCAGGAGTAAAGCAGCTCAATGATTTACTGCAGGATCCAGACTGTCAACTGAAGACACTCAGGTGAGACAGGATTGAATATTTAACTAAACTAGTTAATTAGGCTAAATATTCATAACTAATATATTATTTTAGCGATACAATTAGCTTGACAATTTGTTGCATCAAAAATGATCAAGATCAGATCAGATGCTGCAGGTTCTGTCATGATGATGATAAACGTCAACAAAGTGTAGTTGTGATACGAGTTACAGGTCAAATTGACATTATGGGTCAGTATACAGTTGGTCCTCAACCAGAATAATACTTTTGCCGCCGCTGTTAAATTGGGGTGTGTATTTGCTGCCTTTTACCGCTAAAAAGCGCTACTATGACAGACTTTGAAAAGTGTCAGTTTTTACTCTCTATTGCGTAATCTGCCGCGGCTCGTTGAGAACTGGTAGCAGATATATTCAAGTGAAACATTTTAGTTAAACGACTTCTTAATCACAATACTGAAATTAAAGTACAAATTTAGACCTAAAACAAATGTAGGCTTCTATTATTGCATCAAATTTAAGTAAAGTAGGTTAAACTTTAGGCTAATATTGTGTGCCCAGTTTTTCTATAGGCTAATCTCAGGTTATGCGTCAATATAATGGGTAGGCTATTATACATCGTTTCAGTTATTAAATCTACTAACAAATTAAAATAACGGTGAAATAAATTGAGATGAGTAAAAATCGACTGAAACATGTTGAAATAAAATATTTTTGTATAAGTAACGTATTAAACTGCAAATTAACATTTATATGTCCTAATCATAAAAACGATATGTTACATATGAAAGACAAGATGTCGTTTTTACTGTAAAATACTGCCACATCAAATAAGCTTGTTTGCTAAGATGTTATTATAGTGTTTGTTCGATTGTAGGCTATATTCAAACTAATTAATCCGCAACTGTGAAATATGTATGATAAAATGTATACTTTAGTATATACAAAGAAAGATTACATTTGAAATATATTTAACATTTTAATTGTTGTTGTAATTGTAACCTTTTTATTAAAATAGCAAATATATATGTAGGCTACATATAAATAAATCTTAGGTAAATCTTAAAAGCTCAATATAATGCTACGTTCACACCGGACGCGAATAGCGCGTCAGGCGCGAGTGATTTCAATATTAAGTCAATGCAAAGACGCGTTACGTGCGTAAAAAATTCCTGCGGCGCGAATGAGGCGTAGAGCGCGGCGCGGTAGACGCGAATACGCCTCATTCGCGCGTCAAGTTCGCGCGAATGGCGCGAATTGAGCGTCTGGCGCGAATTGAGCGTCTGGCGCGTTACGCGCGTTACGCGCGAATGGTGCATTTTGTGCATTCACGCGTTTGACGCGAATTCGCGTCTGCCGCCCGAGTTGAAAAATTTGAACTTCTGCGTCAATTCGCGCCGCGTTAACCAATCAGGAGCCTAGCTGCTTGCTGCTGTCACGTGGTGAAGTATCTGGATGCTTCAATAAATTATTTTGTAATTTGACGGTGGTTCTAATGTAGTTCTAATGCACAACAAAGCAAATATTTTATCACATAAAACTTGATTTCAATATAGGCCTATGAGACATATTCATTTTGTATTGAATGCTATTTATTCCATACTAGATTAGGCCTATATGAAATATTATTATAATGTAAAGACAACCAACATTCGTGTCTGGACAGTGATGTGTGTGAGAGAGAGAAAAAATCACGGGACAGATTAATCACTTTTGGAGGCTGGCTCCATTTATCATCAAAACAAAAATAAATGACAGATTAGGTGGATGAGGGCGAGGGTGATCCTCGCTCCGATGCGGGACAACAGGTCATCAAGCTGGGCGCGGGACAGGCGGAAGTACCGCTGACAGTGGCCGTCATCCAGGCGCAGCTCCTGGAGCGAGCAAATGGTGAAACTCGCCACACTGGGTTCGCCTTTGAAGGGTCTGGTGGACACAAATACGGCGACGATGACCCCTACGCCGCCGTTCTGCTCTCGTATTAAGAATATATGCTATTCAGAGCAAATACAGAGCGGTGACTCTCTCGATGAATGCTCGGTCAACATAAAAAAAGATGGCCGCCAACGGGTTTCGATTCAGACGCGCGTAAATTTCGCTTCAAAGTTTTGTTTTTTACGCGCGTCAATTTCGCTCTTGATGCGCGAATGGATTCAAAGTGGTCAAGCGTTTAACTAGACGCGGTAGGTGCGAATTTGACGCGCTATTCGCGTCCGGTGTGAACGTAGCATAAGCCTCCTCTTTAAATTATTTGTATTGTGTTTTATTAGTGACACATTTGGGATATATTCCCAAACTTTCTGTAAAAACAGTATGATAATTAACAGCACAATTACTAGAAATTTTTACATTTGATATTATACAATTTGCAAGCACAATTTGAAAAATAAATAAATAATTGGAACTGTGAACCAATTTTGTATTATATAGGCATATATATATATATATATATATATATATATATATATATATATATATATATATGTGTATGTATATATATATACACTACCGTTCAAAAGTTTGGGGTCGGTACGATTTTAAATACTTTTAAAAGAATTCTCTTCTGCTAACCATGGCTGCGCTTATTTGATTAAAAATACAACAAAAATCAGTTATAGTATTAAATATTATTCCAGTGTAAATCAGCTGTTTTCTGTGTGAATATATAGTAAAGTGTAATTTATTCCTGTGATCAAACCTGAATTTTCAGCATCACCAGTGTCAGTGTCTTCAGTGTCAAATGATCCTTCACAAATCAGTATAATATGAGGATTTGATGCTCTAGAAACATTTATTATTATTATCAATGTTGAAACAGTTGTTGGTCTGTCAGTTGTACAGTTTTTTTTTTTTTTTTTTAGGATTCTTTGATGAATAGGAAGTTCAAAAGAACAGCATTTGTTTGAAATAGAATCTTGTGTAACATTATAAATGTCTTTACTGTCCTTGATAAATAAAAGTATTGATTTCTTTCCTCCAAAAAAATAAAAAATAAATTCTCACTGACCCCAAACTTCTGAACGGTAGTGTATATATATATATATATTTTTTTTTTTTTTTTGTCATTGCATTCTTGTGGCTCAGTGACACACCTGAATGAAAGGGTCATTAGTATGCAGCCCCATTATGCGCTCATTATGCGGGCCCATTGTCTTCTCAGGTGTGAATCACAGCAGGTCACACCCCTGCGCATATTGCCTTTCCAAACAAAAAGTGTCATTTTTAAATTTAAAGGTGCTCTACGTAACTTTTAGCGGCCTCTAGTGGTGATGTTTCAGATTGCAACCAAATTTTACAAGAGCGCTCGAGCTCAAACTCATAGACCATACCGTCTATTACGCAAATATCTCGGCGAATACTGGACGGATTCGGCGAGCACCGAGCTCGTTGGGACCATCTAGTCGAGCTGAAAAGAACCATATAAGTTCCATAGTTTTTGGTGGTGTTTTCGCGGAGATATTAGCAGAAAACCATCGGGCGCGCTGCAAAATTGCGGACGCCGGTGACGTCACGATCTCAGAAGAAAATCGCTCGTATCTCTGGAACGCAAAGACCCAGAGAGCTCAAATTGGGGGGAGGAGGTCCCAGGGGAACCCTTGCCCGAAAGCTAGAGTGGCGGGCCTCGGGGATTCCCCCTACCGGATCGCCATTCGCTGGGACCCCCGATTTTGAACGGCTATAACTCGGGGAGCCGGGCGAGTTGGACCTCGGGGGTGGGCTCGTTCGAAAGGCCCCGTCCAGCACTACGAACGATTTGAGTCTTGGGAATATTGATCAAAGATTGACTGAGATATAAGCCGAAAAACGTGCGCCTTTAACCGGACGTAACTCCCTGACCGTCTACAATAGACTGTATATAAGGAGAGAGGCTCGGGAGCGCGCATGCACGTCACATCCGTTGGATTTCGCGGTAAATCCGACCCGGAGACTTCACATAGAAATAGGAATACTGGCCTTCAGAGGTAAAAGCAAAACCCGACAAGTGGATCATTGTAATGTGTGATTACAACCCCTTCACACACAGGCAATAAAAAAGGATTCATTTTAGAAGAAAAGTTCCATATAGCACCTTTAAACCAATCTATTGTTTTATGTGAATGATAAGGCAGGATGATTTTCAGATCATTTTGAAGAAAAAACTCTAGGCGACAACATTCATTAGTCAAAAGTATTGTGGGCACATATTTAGTATGTGTTTTGTGGCCTTTGTTTTAGTTTTTTTCAATAACCACGCATAAACAATATTCTCTCAAAAATACAAAAATGTACATACATGTTGATAACATATTATGGTAGCCCTGTTTGTGCTAAATAGAGTGTAATTACACCTTTGCCAGTAATATGTTTATAAGCAACTGAAAAAAGCACAAATGTCAGAGTATGTCAAAACATCTCAAGGACCCCAAAAACACCTTGGACCCCAGAGGGTTAAAATAGCATTATGAACAACGCCCAACGCGCCACTGACTTTAGACTAGGTTTTTTCTGGTCAGTGGCGGAATTGTTTTCTGGAACTGCAAAATAGCACTAGGGAATGTTTGCGGCAAAACACGCCTCCTTTTTGCTCCGACCCGCCCAGGGAGCGCAAGTTCATTCCCTAGTTTACCGACGTGCGTCTGTGGAGGGAAAAGCCCGCTTTGCGCGGGTGCAAAATAGGAGTGATACATGCGTCAGTGTACAAAGTCATTTGCGCCGGGTGCAAGATAGGGCCCCATGTGTTTGGTATCTATGGATTCAGAAGACCCTAAGCTAGTATGTAATGTGTTTATAAAGGAAGTATGAGTGAAACATGTACAATAAATGTACAATAAACTAAAGAATTTCAAAACGAAAATTTTATTTTTGTCATTTATTACTGAAAATCACACCTCACACAACAATAGTGAACAGCTTTTCAACAAAAAATATATTGTTCAAACCCTTTGCTTGACAGACATTTGTAATTGTTCAATCAAAAGTAAAATATTTCATCATCTGTGAAAAAACTGTCAGCTTCGGATTTCTCCTCGTCACTTTCCAGTAATT